ATTTGTGATGGAAGAGAAATTAAAAAATCTATGCAAGTAAATAAAAACCACTGATACATTCGGTACTAACTAAAACAATTTTGAATAGAATAACTTTACTCTAAATATTACCAAATAATCTGAATATTATGTATTCACAATTTCACAATTCTGAACAGATTCCACATTGTTTATCTTAAAATATATTATCATAACTGGTTAGCTACTCTCTGCCATATCACATAAAATTGTAGCCATTTCTATAAATTTCAAAATTATATTTAAATACAAAAATACGGAATTAAATTTAGAGTGCAAATATTTTAATTTAGAAGTATAGGATTTGAAAATATAGAAATGATTATAATATAAATTTAAATTTTGAAAAAAATGATTACAATTAAATTGAATGAGTAGAGGGGTAAGGGGTAGGGGGCACGGTGTACACCCGCGCACGTACGCACACCTATATATACAATTAATTTGGCAGAGAGAAAAGTATGCAAAGTAATTCATGCAATTAGCACTCTTCATACCCTTTTTCCGTTCAAGATAAAAAAAAATAATTGAAATAAAGCTAAATAATTTATATTTCTAGAGCCTCATTTTAACGTTAAATGTAATAATTCACAAAACGTGGATATATGTATTTATCTATGTATGTATGTATATACATATACATATATACAAGGTGTTCACTCTATGCGTCGTTTTTAACGCAAACACAATTCCGCACTTTTTGTAGCGAAGTAAGGATTTTATTTGAATTTTATGAAAGCAAATTCAAAAGCAGACGCACCGTTCCTTAGCACAATGGCAGAGAAGATTCCAATTCCGACTCAACCCGATGTGGAATTAAGGCAGAATCGAGACGCGCGCCGTATGGCTCGACACATTGGTGATAGAGAGTTTAAGAGAGACTGGAATAGTGATAGAGAGGAGCAGTATCTCTCTCAACCGCACCAGAAGAGCGAACAGCGTCGAAACCGTAATCAAGGCCGCGCCACTGCTTGGCGTAAACAACAGCAGAATAGAACCGCCCCACCAAAACAGCCAACTTCGACCCCTGACCTGTCCCAGTACATGTCGACAAGCTCGACAGCGCTACGGGATGACCCCATGTATAACTTTACCCAAGGGTCTAGACAAGTATTCAAAAGGAAATGTCAGAACATCGAGCACTCTAGTTTCCCGCAGCTTTGTGACGCGACTTATCGTCAGTTGCGAGAATTTGCACCACGTTTACAGAGAGAGATGCCGTATCTCGTGTTCTTGCACGCTATGAATACGACTCTTCAAGCCTGGTTGCTGGACACAGCAAGGAATCTAAATCAGGAAATCCGCTGGCAGGACGAAGAACAACCTTTGTCGGCGATTCCTCGAGAAATGATCATACCGGCACCCATTGCTGAGTATCTTTCCTTAATCAACAAGAACATAATACCGAATGGTGATAATGTTAGAGTGAACATACCGGATGCTACTGTACCTCAAGACAACGCAAACGGAAATATTGCTGGTACTTTCGGCGTTGCTGATGCCAACTCGCACAACGCCTACGAGACCAATATTTCACCGTATGTCACCATGCGCAATGTACAGAGTTGTGCTAGGAATGAGCAGTTACCACCATTACCACCTGAGCTGCACCCTGCCAATACAACCCCGACACTAAATCTGTTGGGTTACGTTCCCCGATCTAATTTCTCCCCAGACGCCAAGAGTTTGATGGAGAGCTATCGGTTTGAGGACGGTCCGGGACTATCTGGACGATTGAGGTTGTGCCCTGCGCTCATGGCTGATGTTAGCGCTTCACTTTATAGGCTTGAGTCGAAGTTTAGGAGATTTTTCAACCATTTGCGGTAATATAATAAAAAATAGCTGTTAATCAAAATTTATCTGTATTAAGTAGACAACATATAATAAATATTTCAAAAATGTTTATTATCATAGGGAACCCAAAGTCAATCTGATTTTTTAAATGGAACCATAGAATTGTTTTTCATTGTATTGTAGAGAACATTAAGACGAATTCAAAAAGCACATTACATGGTATTTTCGTTTACACAATACCAAGTTTATAGTAGTCGAAGTAGTAATATTTCCGATCCGCTGACCAGCACGTTTCCGGAACTATTCCCCACTTGATTTTTTCTTATGGGGATATCTGTAGCCCATTGTATACCAATCGCCAATTACTAATATTGAAGAACCTCAAGAACGAATTATTAGAGCATGTAGAGCTGTGAATTCAGCCCGTCTAATAGCAATAATACGTTCAAATATCTGCAAAGGAGCAGAATGTTGTATTACGGAAAGCGGTATACAATTTGAACATGTCTTAAAATAAAATGTGGTTTCTTGTGTTCAGTCTTCATTGATCTTATTACACCAAAGCATTATAAAATGACAATCTTTTCCAAGCAACGTTCTATGTTTACATTGTTCACGAATCGATTGAACCTAAAAGGTCGGTAAAAGCATAAAAGGTAAGTATAACTACTATTTCCACTACATAAACAAAACTACCATGTAATGTGTTTTTTGAATTTGTCTTAATGTTCTCTACAATATAATGAAAAAAAAATTCTATGGTTCCATTTAGAAAACTCAAGGTGACCTTTGGCTCACTATGAAAATAAACTATTATCGAAATTTTTATTATTCTTATATATTATTCACTTAACACAGATAAATTTTAATTTATAACTATTTTTTATTACATTGTCACAAATGGCTAAAAAATCGTGTGGCGCGTTAGAGTGAACACCCTGTATACAGAGTGGACAAAGGAACCTTGATCACGTTAATTATTTTCGTTACTATATGTATATATATATACAGGGTGGACAACGTAAATATATATATACACATACACACATATATATTGTTTATATACACATATATAAACAAAATTGACCTCCAGATCTCTTCTACACTTTCACCTGTATAGAAACTACTAGCATTGTTATGTCTTTCTTGCAACCATACAACTTTTGTAAGTAATGTTTTTGCATATTATTTAAAATAATAGAGATATTTGAAGTTGATAGTGTTTATGGAACACCCTGTATACAAAGTGTTTCTCAATACATGGAACTCACTTTAGCGGTAAACGGGGGACATAAAAATAATGAAAGGAGTTTATACAAACATGTGCTCTATTTGACCTTGTTCCTAAATAATAGCCATTTTTGTACTCCAGTAATCTGCAATTTTATGTAGCCTGAAATATTTTTTTATTTGGCTCATGTCTATTGGGTGAACGATCCGCATATAGGCGTCTTGTTTTGGCTGATTTATGTCTGCCATTTCCTACTTATTCATTACCACTTGTAACACACAACAAATTAACGAATTATTAAGTGCTCTTACTAAGAGTACGAACTAGACAAACTTATAGAACAGAATAGTCAAGATTGAAAGATATCAAGGAGTATTCAAAAAATGTGTAGAGACATTTAGCAGAATCAGTTATACTACGTTGTTCAATTTGTTATTAAGAATTATTGGAGTACAAAAATAACTATAATTCAGGATCAAGGTTAAATAGATCGGATAGTTTAGTATCACATGTTTATATGAACTTTTTTTTATTGTTTTTGTGTCCCGCGTGTTAAGAAACACCTTGTACACACACAGAATGATTCTAGCAATAGAACTAGGCTATAACTCTGTCCTACAAAGAAAAAAATCATGGAGGACAATTTTGCATTGTTTAACAATCTCTAGTATCCTATGACACAACTTTTTCTCAAGTGTACCGCATTTTTTTTTTTTTTTACCGAACATCGACTCTTCAAAAGATATAACGTATAAAAGTATTAGATATTTCGAAATTTTAATAACACGTGTTTCATTAAAGATGTGACGGCGGAAGGTTCAAACATCTTAAATAAGAATACGTCTTATTAAAAATAATACTTTTATACGCAGAATGTTTTGAAGAGTTGATTTACGTAAAAAAAAAAAAAACAAGAATCATTAAAAACAGAAATACAATTACAGTTTGTAAGTGCATCAATGCATTTGTGAAAAAAATTGTCATAACATGCTAGAGTTTGTTAAATAGTGCAAAATTTTCCTATATGATTTTTTTCGGACTCTATTTGAAACAGAACTATAGCCTATCCCAGTTACTAGAATCACCTTTATATATCAATTTTAAAATAAATAAATTATTCTATTGATTCTACGAGAACAAAGAGAAGAAATGATTTACATCAATAAAATATATGGTACACTTTAAGTAGACTATAATTTGACTTTTTTGTAAATTAGTTTTTTTATCCTGAACGATAAAAGGTTGAGGATTGTTCTAACTATATGTCTCATCCCATACATATATTTATGCACAATAAGTATAAGTAAAGGTAAAGCTAATGTGTTATGACTCGTCCACCTTCTATGACTTATAAATGGTCTGTCTCAAAGTCTTGGAATATTTGATTTTGGAAGTGTTATTTCAGTTAATAATATTATAACATTTTACGTTAAAATAAAAATTAAACAAATAACTACATCCAAAATCAACTAATGTAAAATTACCTTTCTCATCACGAATTTTATTCTTGAAGTATTATGACACACAATGGACAAGTAGGACCACAAGAAAACCAAGCCCATGAATAATTTCAGAATATAATTTCTATAGCAGTCTTTAACTTTGGCATTATTTCAAATGACAAATTGGGATCAAGTAATTTTTATACTTCAGTAAATAATGTATTATTTATGATAATACTGTTAATGTACCATTCACACCAAAGTTTATAACTGATACTAAATTAAAAATTATGCATGAAAGGAAAAATTGTCTACCTACTTTACCTATATTCCAACACAAATAGTACAAAACAATTTACAAGATCATAAACTAAACATAATAATGTTAGTAAAACATTAGTACGACTAACTAAATGTTTCAAACAATACACATTCATGGGCTTGGTTATTGACTATTTTATCAAGTCAACATTCATCATCATTCATACAAAAGAATGAATTCTTTTGCCAATTAATTTTTAAACTTTAAACATTACTATCTGGTCTATTGGAAAAACCCATTGGTTGAGCATTTTCAACAAGTGCGGTTTGCATACTCGATGAAGGAACCTCAACATTTGTTGCTGCTGATCTCATTTCACCAAGAGGTGCCCTAAAAATTCATAAATTATTAAAACTTAAGGTTACTGAAAAATACAAAAATTATAAAAATAGTATTATACAATGTGTATTACTTTGTATTATGAAACACATATTTACAAAAATATAACAAAAATAAAAGCGTTTTACAAATATACAGGATGTCTCCAAACGGGTAGTATAACCGAACAAGTAATTCTACATGCAAAAGTAAGTTAAAAATATAGAATAAAATTTTTTCATAAGCGGTTTACAGGGGAACATCCCGAAGTGATAAACACCGATTTTGATAAAATTGTAGTATGTGATAGATCCTAAAAAAATATTCCATACGTATTTATTTTTATCGGCAATCGTCTACATTGAAGGGGTGAAAATCATCCTTAAAGTCGAGAGTAGTAAACGTATTTAGCCCAATATCTCGAAAACTATTAAAGATAGAGGGGTGGTGTAAATTGACAAAATTTACCATCCGTCCTGAGACACCCTATGTAATATGTTACACTAACAAGATTCTAATAGAAATACAAAAACGTAATTTAAAATTGTTTTTACAAATATATTTATAAATACTTAAATTCTATATGATGTAAAATACTTTCATATTTCAGCCACATTTCAATATTGTTATTATGGTTTTTGTATCGTAAAATATGCAACTATTTTTGTAATTACAATTTAGAAAGAACAACCACTTATAACTTATAAAAATTAATATTTACAATAAAATATTCTAAGCTGCAAATCAGGTATTTATAAAGTTATAAGTTAAAGAAACAAAAAAGAATCAGCAATACCATGCAAATTATTAAGTTAAATGGTACACTATATTTCTAAAATATAGAAACAAAGCACATATATATTTTCAGTGCATGAAATCCAAAGCTACATATGTTATACTTTTTATAAAATTAAAAGAATCCTTGTGTATAGGTAAATAATTATTTACAATTATAAATTAATATTCTTAAGCTTAAGCATACACACATTTAAGCCTTATATTACAACATAATTGATTTATGAGTGTTAACTTATAGGATCTACAGTACATATTGTTAAACCAAATAATTAATTTTTATGATAAAAATTTATTGAAATAGATTAGTGAAATATGAAAAAGCTGTTGCACATAAAGGACAATATAGTTATAGTGCTAGATAACGTGTATTACTGAATATATTCATTATAGCAATGACATTAAAACATAACTACAAGTCTAAAGATCTATATGATATGTAAAAAATTACAAATGTAAAGATGACATTAAATTTTTATATATTATTGCCTGGTTAGTGAAGTGATGCAATGAATGTTTGATGATTTATGTAGGCCTCCAGACATCAGGATCCTCCACGAGAGTTGTATGGTGATCTGTAGTAGGAGGTACTGTACCCTGTGGGGAACTCACA